GACCACATCGCGGAGGCTTTTATTAACGGTGACCACATCGCGGAAGCGTTTATTAACTGTGACCACATCGCGGAAGCGTTTATTAACTGTGACCACATCGCGGGCGCGTTTATTAACGGTGACCACATCGCGGACGCTTTCATTAACGGTCACCACATCGCGGACGCTTTCATTAACGGTGACCACATCGCGGACGCTTTTATTAACGGTGACCACATCGCGGAAGCGTTTATTAACGGTGACCACATCGCGGGCGCGTTTATTAACTGTGACCACATCGCGGACGCGTTTATTAACTGTGACCACATCGCGGGCGCGTTTATTAACGGTGACCACATCGCGGACGCTTTCATTAACGGTCACCACATCGCGGACGCTTTCATTAACAGTGACCACATCGCGGAAGCGTTTATTAACGGTGACCACATCGCGGGCGCGTTTATTAACTGTGACCACATCGCGGGCGCGTTTATTAACTGTGACCACATCGCGGGCGCGTTTATTAACGGTGACCACATCGCGGACGCGTTTATTAACGGTCACCACATCGCGGACGCTTTTATTAACGGTGACCACATCGCGGGAGCGTTTATTAACTGTGACCACATCGCGGAAGCGTTTATTAACCGTCCCCACATCGCGGGCGCCTTTATTAACGGTCCCCACATCGCGGGCGCCTTTATTAACGGTCCCCACATCGCGGGCGCCTTTATTAACGGTCCCCACATCGCGGGCGCTAGATCGCTAATTAAAGCGCCCGCGATGTGCGCTGCCACAAGAGCGGCCACTTCCGCCCGTTTACCTGGCGCGCAGAGATCCACCCCCCTTTGGTGTAATGCTGTGGTTCTCCGTCTAAAATCAGGTCTAGTCTAGTTTAGTTTAGTCTAGTTTAGTAAGCGCGAGTCTTCCTTTATGACACTCAGCGGGCTGGATTCAAAAAACTTTGCAGTAACAGCTGCGTCACCTAACAAGACCTGTTTAGTCAGCTGGTGTTTTCCATGTCCTCAGCCATCAACAGCCAATTAAACTGTCAACAGCCAATCAAAATCCCCATGTAAATTTGTAGAAATATAAAGGAACATATTTAAAACCCCCTTTGAAGCTCTTGGCTGACAAACCAAAACAGAAAACCATAAACAGAGCCACGGATTTTAAGGGAAGAAAGGCTGACAAATAATAGTACATTATTGAATAAGGATGCTTTTAACTTCTAATCAAGAAATTTACTGATCAGAAAATTGAAGTTTTACTATAAAAAATTAAATGTAAAAAATTAAGCTATGACAGCAAAAATCAACTTTAATTGTTGGAATTATATTTTAACATGGAAGATTTCACTTATTGGTAATAATTCAACCATTTTTCATTATAATATATTTTATTACAATTGAAGTAAAAATTTTACTGTCTTAAATTAAAGCTTAATATTTGATCATTTTAATTAGAATTAATAATGACACTGTGGTGCTGAAATTACTGTAGCAAACCGTTTAACATTTAATTTAGTTTATTTTTTTCTTGATCTCAGGAATTCAATTTACATGTGTGAAAATTATATTTCAAGTAGTAAATATTTAATGTTTGATATCAGGAATATCGTACAAGCGATAAAACCAGTGACCCTCCGTGATGAATGAGTGAACGTTAGTGCCTGTCAGTAATTCCCCATCTGGCCACCAGAGGTCTCTCTCTCCTGAGTACTAGCCGCCTGCATCTCATACAGTCTCTGATCAGCCTTTTAATGTAACAGATCACTGTATTTTAAGGATGAAGAGCATCTTGGGCCAGTCTTCATTTCCGTTATGTAATTTTAGGAAGACTTAATGTTTCATTTTTTTATAGAGCAAATTATTTTTCTTTTAAGTGTGATCAATCATGGCCCTACTGGCCCTGACATCAAAGGACTGTGTACTATGTCTGGCTACACTGTTTCCCCTTACATGCCAGTTCAAGCACTGTTAATTATGACACATAGTAACTTCTCAAATTCTCTATTTTTCTCAAACTAAACAGAAATTTTACATTATTTGTGTAGTTGATACAATGATTATGATTATTGTTCTATCGGTTGGACATTCCAAAGGCCAAGAAGAGCAACTGGACGGGGGTCTGGAAATAATTTCAAGGCAAGGCACGCGCTCACTTCCACCAGCTCCATCTGAATAGATGATCAACCTAAAACATCCATTATATTACATGACTACAACACAAATACAGACATTGTATTTACTATCCAGAACCACCAGTGAACCTACACGAGTCTTCTGAGTTTATATGGAATGTTGATGATGGAAAATAGTCGAAATAGAGAAAGAGAAACACCCACCTTGTACTTCCACTCACTGGTCACTTTATTAGAAACACCTACCTTGTACTTCCACTAACTGGCCACTTTATTAGAAACACCTACCTTGTGCTTCCACTAACTGGCCACTTTATTAGAAACACCTACCTTGTGCTTCCACTCACTGGCCACTTTATTAGAAACATCTACCTTGTGCTTCCACTAACTGGCCATTTTATCAGAAACACCTACCTTGTGCTTCCACTAACTGGCCATTTTATTAGAAACACCTAGCTTGTGCTTCCACTAACTGGGTCACTTTATTAGAAACACCTACCTTGTGCTGCCACTGACTGGCCACTTTATTAGAAACACCTACCTTGTGCTTCCACTAACTGGCCACTTTATCAAAAACACCTACCTTGTGCTTCCACTCACTGGCCACTTTATTAGAAACAGCCACCTTGTGCTTCCGCTCACTGGCCACTTTATTAGAAACACCTACCTTGTGCTTCCACTAACTGGCCACTTTATTAGAAACACCCACCTTGTGCTTCCACTAACTGGCCACTTTTTTAGAAACACCTACCTTCTGCTTCCACTAACTGGCCACTTTATTAGAAACACCTACCTTGTGCTTCCACTCACTGGCCACTTTATTAGAAACATCTACCTTGTGCTTCCACTAACTGGCCATTTTATCAGAAACACCTACCTTGTGCTTCCACTAACTGGCCATTTTATTAGAAACACCTAGCTTGTGCTTCCACTAACTGGTCACTTTATTAGAAACACCTACCTTGTGCTGCCACTGACTGGCCACTTTATTAGAAACACCTACCTTGTGCTTCCACTAACTGGCCACTTTATCAAAAACACCTACCTTGTGCTTCCACTCACTGGCCACTTTATTAGAAACAGCCACCTTGTGCTTCCGCTCACTGGCCACTTTATTAGAAACACCTACCTTGTGCTTCCACTAGCTGGCCACTTTATTAGAAACACCCACCTTGTGCTTCCACTAACTGGCCACTTTATTAGAAACACCTACCTTGTGCTTCCACAAACTGGTCAATTTATTAGAAACACCTTGTGCTTCAACTCACTGGCCACTTTATTAGAAACAGCCACCTAATGTCTCCACTCACTGGCCACTTTATTAGAAACACCTACCTTGTGCTTCCACTCACTGGCCACTTTATTAGAAACACCTACCTTGTGCTTCCACTCACTGGCCACTTTATTAGAAACACCTACCTTGTGCTTCCACTAACTGGTCAATTTATTAGAAACACCTTGTGCTTCAACTAACTGGCCACTTTATTAGAAACAGCCACCTAATGCTTCCACTCACTGGCCACTTTATTAGAAACACCTACCTTGTGCTTCCACTCACTGGCCACTTTATTAGAAACACCTACCTTGTGCTTCCACTCACTGGCCACTTTATTAGAAACACCTACCTTGTGTTCCACTAACTGGCCACTTTATTAGAAACAGCCACCTCGTACTTCCACTAGCTGGCCACTTTATTAGAAACACCTACCTTGTACTTCCACTAGCTGGCCACTTTATTCGAAACACCTAGGTTGTACTTCAACTCACTGGCCACTTTATTAGAAACACCTACCTTGTGCTTCCGCTAACTGGCCACTTTATTAGAAACAGCCACCTTGTACTTCCACTAGCTGGCCACTTTATGAGAAACACCTAGCTTGTACTTCCACTAACTGGCCAATTTATTAGAAACACCTCGTGCTTCCGCTAACTGGCCACTTCATTAGAAACAGCCACCTTGTACTTCCACTAACGGGCCACTTTATTAGAAACTATTAGGTTCATTCTTGGAAGGTGGAGAAACCAAACCAGATGGTTATGATGATGTGAGGATGGTCACTGTGTAGAACTGGATCATGAGACTCTACAGCAGGTTGAATTTCTCTACAGTCTTTTGCATGTTCAGCAGGCCACCACTGCTGCACCAGGACACCAGCTGCTCGACTTTTCTGTAGGCAGACTCATAAAGAGCTGTAGTGTATTCTGTAACAGATACATGAGTGAGCAAAATCAGCTTAATCAGAATGTATTCATCACCTTCAGTTATTCAGTAATATTATTTTCAGTGCGAACACGATTCCCACTGATTTTCATTATCAGGGTCACCCAAAAGTTTGCATACGACTGTAGACATAGCCATGTACAAAAGTTAAGTTGAACGTTTATTTTTTTTCACTTTCTAAGGGAAATAATTTAACACATCCTCTAATATCCGTTAATATTACACAGAAATATTACATTTTTACTGGAAATAAATAACATGCCAACTATAGAATGCGCCGTAACTTCTGCACAGGCCACATTTTGTTTTTTTTATGTTGAATATGTTAAATTCAACAAATAAACAGTAATTGTGGAGTTTGTATTATGTATTACATATATATATAATATTATATATAAATACAAATATATCTCGCTGCTGTCGGAACAAAACCTCGTATCTCCAAAATGGTAACTTCACAGGAGAAGGAAAAAACCTACTTTACTTTTAATGTAAGTCAATGGAACCAGACTTCCCAATTCATTTTGGGTCATTTCTTTTGGTCCAGTCAGCATGAAATTTACAGGTATTTTCAGATTATGTAAAAAAACTGAAAATATATATATGGACAAACATTTTTTAAACACGAAATTGAACAAATAACCATCAGTCACCCAATTAACTCACCAAATCATTTATTTTAAGAACAATGGAACAACTTCAAACAGAACATCGTCTTTGAGGCCGCTTTCTAAACATTCAGTTCATGTAATCTGAACACTGTACAGATAAATAAGATCAGCCTGGAGACTCTCAGGCTTTAACAGAGCAGACGCACATTTAATGTGCCCATTCGCACACATGCACGCGCACAACCACACACTTCCATAGAACATCACATGTTCCACACTGTACACATACTGAGTGTATCAGCACTCACATACATAAAGCACTGACTTAACGAAACAGCAAATACTGTTTTTGTTTAGTCAGGTTACCCTTCTCAGCTTCCCAGTGGATTCAGGGATGTTGAAACACAAGCCTGTAACATGAAATCGAATGGGAGTCAAAGGTGACGTCCTCCAAAAGTGTCTAAGCAGTAATACAGATGATAGAGCTTCATTCGCTGCACTAAGAGACGGCTTCCCAGAAACAATCCAGCTTAGCTTTGGATTAGTTTTAATGTCAGTGCTGATTAACCACTGAAAAGCCTTTTATTTATTATTTTGTCTATTCTATAACCTTACACAAGGTTTTGAAACTGATATAAAAAGCTACCCTACAATAGCATTCCTTATTTTAACTTGCTTTAAACAAGAACGATCCCTCTCTGTAAACTGTAAAACTGACACTGTTCCCTCTGTCTGTGTGTATGAATGAAAATGTGCATTAAACCTGCAGGAGAACATTCATCTTTACGAAGACTGGTTTTCCCTTCAGTATAAAGTTTTCAGCTTGCTGTTTTAAAGTTAAACAACATTCCAACAGACTGTACAGCAGGAACAGGGTTTCAGTCCCAGTCCTAAAACATCACATGTTCTACAGAGCCAAAGGCTGAACACAACATATATACATAAGATCATTTTGATTTCCAGCGTCCAGAAATAGAGCCTCTGAGACACGTTCCTCCACAGAATTCAAGACCTGTTAGCGTATTAAAGCACTTTTTGAACCTACACTGCAAACAAAAAGTCTGTGTTGATAAGTGAAAATATCTTAAGTATAGTTGATGCATCTTTACACGTTTCAAGAAATCATGCTTGATGGAATTGGAACAATCTGCCTGGTGGAATAAGACAATTTAGACAGATATACTACAGATATAACTAGCTAATACTTAAAACAACTGGAAATGTCTAGAAATGAACTGGGATTATCTTTTGAGATTGCTGTAGGAATATTATAATAAAGATATTAGATATACTGACTAGATAATGGTTTCACCTGCCAAGGCATTGTTTTGTTGCAACGTAATAACCAGGTGGCCAGAATCAAGCATGTTAGAGCTGAAAATTCACTGTTTATGGGATTGAGAGCTAAAAACTAGCAGCACTTGTGAAATTCACAGTCAAGCACTGTCTGGGATTCAGCTGACCCCGACAAATGTAACCTTTCAAACTCCTGGAATAAAAAAAAAACAACTTAAAAATCATGAAACTTCAAAATCAGTACTTGGTAAAACAATCACTCATCATCCCCCTACTAGTCCAAGACTGAAGAACAGGATATAAAATCAGACGGAAACATGAAGCCTCTAGCATATAGACTTGTTTTCTGCATGTTAACTCATATGGTCAGCATTGTATTGAGTCCTCACAGTTGGAGGAAAATGAACAGGGTGTTTTTGTTTCTGGTTGATGGTCAGTAGGATGGTCAGTTTAAAATGACAGGATGGTTCGCTGGATGATGTCAACGCACTCGCTGATCTCATCTTCGTTGATAATGAGGGGCGGGGCCAGTCTGATGATGTCACCATGAGTGGGTTTGGCCAGGAGTCCGTTGTCACGGAGACGCAAACACACTCGCCAGGCGTCGTAATCTGAAAGATAAACGCAGAGCGAGAGTTTAAGCACAGGAGAACGTAAACAGTGCGCTGGTTCAACAAAGTGACAGTCAAAGATCTTTCCCTTCTCCAAGGTCAAAACTTCAGTAACAGAACACACACCAGCCTCTTTAAAAACAAAAAAGGTCCAAAGGTACTTGGGAAAAGGAGCTTGTTCCACTAATTTACCTGAAAAATATATCAGTGCTGTAAAGAGTTTTCCATTATACATCAGTTATTATTTTCAAAATCTAGTTATATCAAAAATGGTTACAAACAGGTATACAGCGTTTTAGAAGGAAACCCTTTCCACTGTGGCACCGTTTCAGCTGCTCCTGACGGAGGTTTTAAGCAGAGTCCTACCTTTAGTCTCCCTGATGACGACGGCGTTCAGCAGACCTTTCCCCCTCACCGTCGTCACTATTTCTTTGGGCAGCTTGTTGAGCTCTGCTCTCAGAATATTTCCCATTTTCTCAGCATTCTCTGCCAGTCTCTCCTCCTCTAGAACCTAATCAGATCATATCAGACCCACACACACCATTATCAAACAGTGGACAGATGGGTAAATGGGCTGAAACAGCATAAACATCTCTGCATCAATGGAAGGATGGAAAAACGTTTGGAAAGATACAAACCTCTAGGGCCGCAATGGCGACTCTGCAGGCCAGAGGGTTTCCTCCGTAGGTGGAGCCATGCTCTCCTGGTTTAATTGTCAGCATCACCTCGTCATCACAGAGCACTGCAGACACCTGAAAAACAAAATCAACAGATTAACACCGCTGACCCGCAAAGGGCAGAGTCGCACCGCTGACCCACAAAGGGCAGAGTCGCACCGCTGACCCACAAAGGGCAGAGTCACACCAATGATCCGCAAAGGGCAGAGTCGCACCACTGACCCACAAAGGGCAGAGTCACACTAATGACCCGCGAAAGGCAGAGTCACACCAATGACCCACAAAGAGCCGAGACGCACCAATGACCAGCAAAGGGCAGAGTCGCACCGTTGACCCACAAAGGGCAGAGTCACACCAATGACCCAGAAAGGGCCGAGACGCACCGCTGGCCCACAAAGGGCAGAGTCACACCAATGACCCGCAAAGGGCAGAGTCACACCAATGACCCGCAAAGGGCCGAGACGCACCAATGACCCGCAAAGGGCAGAGTCACACCAATGACCCGCAAAGGGCAGAGTCACACCAATGACCCAGAAAGGGCCGAGACGCACCGCTGGCCCACAAAGGGCAGAGTCACACCAATGACCCGCAAAGGGCAGAGTCACACCAATGACCGGCAAGGGGCCGAGACGCACCGCTGACCCGCAAAAGACAAAGTCCCACCAATGACCTGCAAACGGCAGAGTTGCACTGCGAATCTGCAAAGGGCAAAGTCGCACCGCTGACCAGCAAAGGGCAGAGTTACACTCCTGACACATATGGGCAGAGTTACACTCTGGACACATAAATAGAAAAGTTAAACTGCTGACACGCAAACGACATAACAGCATCACCGACACAAAAATTACACATTTACAACATTCATCAAACAGAAACTGTGCACAAAACCTGCCGAAGAATGCTACATTTAAGATTGTTCCCTCTAACGGACGTGTTAACTTTCAACAAAACACTGAATTTAACGGTTCAAACTTTTCAAAAAGTTTTACATACAACTTTAAATTATAGATATATAAAGTAAGTAAAGTATATATAATAATACTAATAAAGACAGTGCTGAAAATAAAAGAATGGCGAGTACAGAAACTCACAGACAGGAACTACAGATTTAGATTAGGGGTTTTCCCTCAGGTAAATCTGTTCACTGAGACAGTCGTGCAGCACAGGAAGTGGGAAACACCACAGGGTACAACACGTAACGGAACACATTAGTGTGAGCTCTTCTAAGCTTAGATTAGTGTTCCACTCCTCCTCTCTACAACAAACCCTCACACTCAACTCGCTCACCTCTGGCTTCCTGTACATCTCTTGATCATTACAATGAGTACAGTAGCGATGCTCTCCAGTACAACTGCATAAGTTTTTCCCAGAAGTACAGTAGATACAGTAGAATGGCTAGAAGATTTACACTCTATTATATAATGATGATTGACTGTTAACTACAAAGCTGTAAGAAAACGGCACTAAAATCAGAACCTAAATCTTGAATATCTACATGGAACTTCTCTTCGCAACATAAATCACAACAGGATTGTAGGGAAAAAACATAAAAAAAGACAATATACAAAATAATCTACAGGTAACTTACATTATAAGTACTGAGATTGTGTACATATACAATAAGTACAGGCATGTAAACAAACTGTATACTGTGTACTTCTTGTATTTTTATTTTTACTGTGTTTACTTTCTGTAGAGTGATTATCTGAGCCTCACCACAAGCATTTCAATGCATGAATGTCCTGACATGTCGTGCAAATGACAAATAAACTTGAAACTTGAACTTGAACTGTGGATATTACAGTATTAATCTCATAAAAATACTGTGCAAAAGTAACAAGCAGCCAAGAAAATCGTTTTAAACTCTTTATCTTTGCACTAAGTGTGTTTTTAACCACTGAAACACTATATAACATTAGAATAAACAGAAAATAAACAGAAAAACAAAAATAAAATGTGACAATGTGTTTTTCAAAACCGTTATTCATATGTGGGTTAGAAGAATACAGGTTAGGTTCTTAATTTCTCGCTGCACTCCAGCCATGGATTGCATTTTAGTGCCTGACCTCACAGATGCTCTTCTGATCTTTTGACTAAATGAGCACAGATTCCCACAAACACTCCAAAACCTTGTAGAAAGATTCCCAGAAGAGTGGAAGCTGTTGTAGCTGCAAAGGCCAACTCCATATTAATGCTGCTGGTTTTGGAATAGGACATCTAACAAACTCACACAGGTGTGATGGTCAGGTGTTCACACTGTTGTCCATACAGTCTATTTACAGTTATATGCTGGAGATGCTTAAACGGCAAATTTGGGCAAATCTGAATTATTATTTTGACTGGATAACAGGTTGTTGTCCCACTCAACTCTCCAAACCCTCGTAAACAATGGCCTTTGGACACAAGCCAATGGAAATCATGAGCAAAAGAGCCACTCTGTATTGAGAAAACATGCCCAAAGCGTAAAATACATGATCACAGCTGTTTTTAATGCGAGCTGCTGCTGCCGCGGCTCAAAGTAGAGCCACAACTGCAATCATAGTCAGGGCGGTGTTGTCAGAAAAACAGTGGAAAATGCAGGAAACAGGCTCCCAGCAACGTATATCCAAGAAACATACAGTATACACCCTGCACAAATGACATTGTTAATTTTAAGTGAAAATACATGAACACATCCTCTACAGAGAACAGGCTTCTGCACATTTGAATGCACAATTACTTTTATTTGCTGAATTTAATATATTGAGGGAAAAATACATAAAATGTGGCCTGTGTAAAAGTTATGGCACATACCCCCCACCATCCAATATGTTAAACTGTAATAAATAGAAAAAAACTGAAATTGTGCACTGAAATTGGCCATATTTAAGTGTGTTCCTAACTTTATCTTCTGCATCTAATACTGGATTAAGAAACAGAACTGCATAATAATTTGATAACATGCCTTTGAGGTTTTCGTCTATCAAAAGAAAGTTTGGTGTCGGACCTTTCATCAACCAGACCTTAATTAGCACACAATATAGCTGCTCTGCTCCTTTATATAATCTTAACTACTGGTCAAGTTTTCTGTTTCTATGTTTACTGTTAGTGCTATTTCTAACGTGCCACATTAGAAGCCTCCAGGTACACAGGAGCTCTTCCCAGAACCACCAAACATGGCTGTGTATTCATTTCAGTGAGGATCAACACTTCCAGACCTTTCCAAGAACTGTCGAGAGAACGTGTGTGTGTGTGTGTGTGTGTGTGTGTGCGCCACTCACTGGATAGACTCCTCCAGACAGAGCTTTTCCCAGAACCACCAGGTCCGGCCGCACAGCCTCGTGGTCCACAGCCAGTCTGCGGCCCGTGCGAGCCAAACCCGTCTGCACCTCATCAGCAATGAACAGAACCTGTAATGCACACAAACACGAATGTCAATCACAAGAAACATTCGCCTCAGATTTACTCCACAAATACCAGTGCAGAAATAAAAGTGTAACTGGAATTAAAGAGCCCATATTTTACATTTTTCTTGTATTTTATACGGTGTATTTGTTTGGGTTTAAGTACCAAAAACAGTCATAAATTATTTTTACAGTATCATGTTTCCACCTTTATCCCTTTAGAATTAGTCAGGCTGTTTTTGTTACTGTGCCTTTAAGACTGATACGAATCATTGTACTTAATCAGTTCAAACTGCTGCAACAGTAAAAAAAGACTTAAAAAACAATGAAGATACTGATCTGTTTAACCCTAAGGCATTAATTGAGATGGTAATAAGCTAAACATATACAAAATCATCTAATCAGAATTTGAGTCTCTGGGCGGAGCCCTATTTTAGCCACACCCCTGCATTTTAGAGCAGGAAGTGAGGCTGCATCCCTGTCCCTCACATGGTGAGCAGTTAGATCCCATTGTTTTGAAGTAAATGCGTCCCAAAGTCTGAAAATCAGTGTGGAACATTAAGAATCATTTTTTGCAATTAAGTAAAGCTTTTTGCATTTTAATAAAAGTATTATGAATTTGTGTTTGTGTGTGTCACTAGCAAAACATTCTCTACTGAAACTGCTGGTAAAGTCTGGGTGGTGTTATGGTTGTTTGGGAGTGACAAAATGGAAGGTTTAATGATTTATTTTAATAAAATAAACATAATTAAAGTATAAGGTCATTCAAAACAATAAAAAGCAAAAGGTTAAAGAAGTATTTTACTAAAAATGCAGTCAAATCAGACGAGACATGTTTGGTGTCTGATGTTTGCTTCTTTAGATTTACTGCAGCTACAAGGCTTGCATTGAACAAAATGTTGATTTTCTTAGTGTAAATAAGTGAACATCCCATCTACAGAGAACAGACTTCTGCACTCTATTGCATAATTACTGTTTATTTGCTGAATTTAACAAACTGGGGGGAAAAAAGCATTAAATGTAGGACCAGTTCAAACTTTTGCACATGCAACGTTTTATTTCTCTGCAGTATGATATATTAAGCCAATACATTGAAATTTGCAGAAATATGGCATATTTGAGTTTGTTCCTTGTAGAAGACGTACTAACATGTTTGCGATTAGAAAATCAATGTGTCATTTTACTGGCGGTGCCCAAACTTTTGCAAAGCACTTAGCTAACAAGCAATGGAAGCTTACACTGCGCTAAATCATCACTCACTCAACTCAAGCCATGTTGAGTTGTTCAGTAATCTTTGAAAGACTGGACTATGTAGTTTCTGAGACGCTGTTATTTATAAACAAGGGCAAATGGAAAATATTGCAGATATTTATTTTTCTTTTATGACTTAAGGGTCTGTATCCTGTGTGTTATCCTGTCTTATGAATTCAAAATTAGCTGTTCTACTTAGTTTTCATATATGGATTGTGTGGACTTGGGAGTGAAACTGTTATTTCAATTGAAATTTAATTTGCATATTTAGTTTTACACGATATGGACCCCACAGAAATATACTGTACTGTGCAAAAGACACCTGAGTAAATAGTTTAATCTTCTGAGGAACAAAGTTTGGTTCCAGATTTGTTCAATTCCATCAGCACCACATCTGATCTGACTTAATGAAGCACTGATTGAGCCAAAACAGGTGCTGGAACTACAATTAATACTAGGCTTTCTTGAGGAGAGGCTTGGAAACAGTTAAGGGAAAACACTGGCAAACAAACTAATACTTTCTGTATTAACATCATGTGGTGTTTTTGCAACACTGATGCTTTTCTGAGTAAAAACACTTCCTGCAAAGATAAACAGCTTATATACGTTGGAATATATATATATATATATATATATATATATATATATATATATATATATATATATATATATATATATATATATATATATATATACACACATACACACACACACACACACACACACACACACTATATATATCAATAACACCGGAGTGAAGGTGGACAGGTGTTTTACTCACGTTGTGTTTGGTGCAGAGCTCTCGGACTTTGGTCAGGTAACCTGGGTCAGGAACCACCACTCCTGCTTCACCCTGGATGGGCTCCACCATGAACGCAGCCACATTAGGATCCTGCAGGGCTTTCTGTATAAACACACCGATCATTTAACTTCAGCGACTGGACACGAACCACACAGAAGAGACGATGAGGCTACATTCACATTAAAAGGCACAACAATATATATTTACACACAAATATACAAATAATTTTATATATCCACTCTTCTGGGAAGGCTTTAGATTAGATGTTGGAACATTGCTGTGGGGGTTTGACTGCATTCAGCCACAAGAGCATTAGTGAGGTCAGGTACTGATGTTGGATGGTCAGTTCTGGATCACTCTAACTCATCCCAAAGGTACTGGATGGAGCTCCATCACTCCAGAGAACACAGTTCCACTGCTCCACAGCCCAATGCTGGGGGGCTTTATACCCCTCTAGCCCACACTTGGCATTGGTCATGGTGACCTTAGGCTCATGTGCGGCTGCTCCAGAGTGTCCTGTTCTATTCATCAATGCTTTTCTGTGGAGATTATACTAGTGATGTGTGCACAGTTGATTTAGCGATTGGTGCACTTTACAGTAGATTCGTTCACTCATCAGAGGGCCGTCTGGACACTGCTGGATATGCAGCCTATAGTCTTAAAGTCATCAGATCTTCAAGCTCAGCAAATTTGTAAATTGTAATGTGAATGTAGCCAACAGCACACACTGGACATCCAGCACTAAAAGGCAACGATAAGATTATTGATTAGACAGAAGGAGGGCAGCAGTACCTCCAGGGCAGGGATGTCGTTGTAGGGAACCAGCTCAAATCCAGGCATGAATGGGCCAAAACCGTCATAACTGCTGGGGTCAGTGGAGCTGGAGATGGCCGCCATCGTCCGGCCCCAGAAATTTCCCTCTACACATAAAGAGAGGAGACAGGAATGGATTAAACCAATCACAGAGAGTTTTTTAGAGCATTACAACAAAGTACAGAGACAATGAGCTGTTTGGCTTAACATACTGTGACAATACTACTATTATATTGTCTAACATTATAGTATATGAAAAACAAACACACACACACACACACACACACACACACACCTACTGCTGCTGCTATTATATTACTATTGTAATAATAATAATAATAATAATAATAATAATAATAACAACAACAACAACAATAATGAGTATCATTATTATTGATATCATAAACTAGACATCAAAATGTATTTTGATAGATTACTACTTTACATACTTTAGGAAACAAAAAAAATGAAATGGCAAACAATATACTGCAATTATCAAATTTACAATAAATGTCAAGTTATCAGCCTCAAGATTTGATCACCACTTTTGAAATATGAGGCATTTTTCATTCCTGATGTTGCATCACTTTCTGAGTCATATTAGAACAATCTACGGCTCCATTTATTATTCTGGACACATCTAACCTTTCTTAATATTTTACACATTCACAATGATTATAATAATAATAATAATAATAATAATAATAATAATAATTCTTTACATATACTGCACTTTTTTAGTTACCAAGTCTCCAAGTGCTTTAAACTTTAAATTATGCTTATAGTTTAATATAAATTACATAAATTAATAGAAGTTGCACCTGAATGGCAAATAAATTATTTCATACATATATTTGTGACCAAATTGGTTTTATATTACAGAAAACATGGATTTGATTCTCCTTTGTTATTTAAAAAAAGGAAAACACTGGTTTTAACGCCACATTATGCTACTTTCAGAAATAAACTTTCATTTTTTCATTTTATGCATATCGGAACATTTCTTATGTACATCCACAAGTAAACATTTATTGATGTAGAAGATCTTTAACTCTCCTATGGTGGAATAAAAGACCTACCTGCAAAGATGATCTTTGCCTGATATTTGGGAACGCCCTTCACATTGTACGCCCATTTTCGTGCCAGCTTGCAGGCCGTCTCTCCACCTTCAACACCTTCAGGATTCAACACAAAAAGAAAACAGAATATCCTTTACACGCCGTTTCACCACTTAGCAAAAGGTTAATCCTTACACTGTGGAATGGAACTGAACTGGAAAGAACAAAATGCACCAAACGTTCTGTACATGAGCTAAAAACATCACGGTTTACTGTGACAGAACTTTATGCTGGCAGGTGTAGCTGCTATGAGGGATTAAAGGGATTGTTCAGTGGACATAAAACTTTGCACTGGCCTTTCGTGCCACCAAGCCAATTAGCATCAAGAATTATAGAAAAGGGGTTTATTGTGTGTGTATATATTATTATTATTAATGAGAACATGGCTGTTGGGATGCCCCCCCACCCACATACTGGGTCAGCAACTATATAAGCAAGTCTTTTAGAAACTACTTAACAACTCCACATGGTTTGAGACCAGTGCGTGATGATTTAGGGATGCAGTTAGTGTGGTGTTAACTGGTGGGGTATAAGCTTCCGTTACCTGTTAGTTATGTTACCCTTTATTAGTCCCACAACTGGGAAATTCACCTCCGCATTTAACCCATCCGTGCAGTGAAACACCACATACACACTAGTGAACGCACACACTAGGGGGCAGTGAGCACACTTGCCCGGAGTGGTGGGCAGCCCTATCCACGGCGCCTGGGAAGCAGTGGGGGGTTAGGTGTCTTGCTCAAGGGCACTTCAGTCACATACTGTCGGCTCAGGGGATCGAGCCGGCGACCTTCCGGTCACAAGGCTGCTTCCCTAACCTCCAGCCTGTTAGCTACACTAGACCCTAAAGCTGTAAACGTCAGACAGCCAACACTACAAATGTGGTAAGAAGAAAATTTTGCGAGTATAAAAACTGAACTGTCAATTTAAATTTCTCATCAGAGGAGGTTCTACTCGCCTGTGTTCATGGGCAGGACTTTGTCATATCCAAACAGATTGGTGATGTACTCCTCGTAGGCCCCCAGGATGTCGTTGTAGAAGGCTCTGGAGGTGAGGGTCAGTTTGGAGGCCTGGGCGTTCAGGGCGGCGATGATTTTGGGGTGGCAGTGGCCTTGGTTAACCGCGCTGTATGCACTGAGGAAGTCATAATACCTACGACCCTCTACGTCCCACACGTGGATGCCTGAAAGAGACAAAGGTCATTCACAATGGTCAGATAATTTCTATTCTATTCAACATGACTGAGGTGCAACACTTGTGGCTCCTCCATTGGCTTTAATTAACCAAATCACTTCAATACTACCAAGTATCGAAATATTTAGTGTCATTCAAAACCAAAGTGCAACACCTGAGCCAGTGAGCCAATAAGAACGCTGGTTCAAAAATCTAGACTGCTGACTAAATTACAATCTGCATGCATGTAATTAACACCAGCAGTCTGTTACAGTGAGATTAATATTGCTGGATTGAAAGGGAAATCGTACATTAGAGATTAATAATGTGCTAATAAATAATACATACTAAACAGAATGCAAATGAAAAGCATGCTATGTATTGGGCAGTTCTTGCATGTCTGCATTTTTATTAGGCTTAATTCTATATACAGTCATATGCAAAAGTTTGAATATGCCAATAAGGCATCGCTACAGAAAACAACCTATTTTCTGTAAATTTTACTCTGCACTACTGCACCATTTCTATATATTTGCTGAGAAATAAAACAGAAAGTATATAATGTGGCATAACTTCTGCACAGGCCACCTTTTATGTTTTACTTTTTTCTTCCAATGTGTGAAATTCAGCAAATATTCAGTAATTGTGCATTAAAATGTGCAGAAGTGTGTTCTCTGTTGATGTTTTAACTCCCTTTTGCTTAGAAAATAAACAAAACATGTCATTTGCCTGGGGTGCCCAAACTTTTGCATAGGACTGTGTATGGTATATGGAATCTATGTATTTATCTTATTCTATTATTGTTGTCATTGTTATCTATTTATTTTGTACTTCTGAATGAGCTCCATGTCCAAATCTCAATAAATGTATTTTAATGCTTGTTATGTTAATAAACTACTTGACTGGACTCATGTTTACTATAAAAGGTCAGTGAGTGTCCGGCTGGTGAGTGGAGTCTGTACTGACCCTCTCCTCTCTCCAGGGCCACGGGCAGCGGGTGGTAGTTGTGCGCTCCGTATCGATCCTCGCGAGCGTACACTTCCTCTGAGGTGAGCTGACGCTCCGCACGCTTCGCCCGGGACGCCACAGAAGAGGCCGTCCGCGTCCCAGAATGCACTGCACGGCTCAGGGTGGGGGCCGCCAAGCCCAGGCGGGTCAGACGAGTCAGCATGCCTTGCATTTCTGTACATAAAGAGGAGAAAACATGTTAAACCAGCGAAACAAACTACGGACCTACAACAAAGAGCGTCACTTACAATTGTGATCACAATGGATCTAATACATCAAAGAAGCAAATTTCACCAACAGCTTTGTTCTTCAACACTTTCATCTTTACCATATCTGTACAGTGAAACGCACGTCTGGTAGGAGTCTGTGTAGATTTGAGCATCATAGTTCAACAACCTGAAAAATGCCTGATTTTGTAGCTAAATAATCAAAAATACTGTAAATAACATGAATAATATGAGCAACAGCAGCGAAAAAAGCTATGATAAACCAATAACTTCATGCACAACAATCCTTTAAGTGGATGTATGATGTATGATACAGTAAACAGCCTCTCTAAAATACAAAACATAGCTAACCCAGTACAGTAGAAGCTCATACACCTCAATATTATGGCATTTTGTGAGAATAATCACACTACACAATCACATCACTCTGCCATCTGAAGAAAAAGGCTTAATTTGTTAATTTCACATTTTATTATTATTTTCAAATCACTTTAATTGTAACACTATACAATTTTTTAACCTCTGGCCAGTAGGGGGGGCAGTGCACCACCACTGCTAACTCCACTTAAAAGGACAACCTCACTTTTCTTTCTTTGACTGGCTCACTATCAGAATATCTGCATGAATTGGTGAGTGCTTCATGTAAATGAGGGCAAATTTATGCGCGTCCATTCAAATCCGTCCGTCCGTTTTACACATTAAAGCTGATTCACCTATTACATTGTAAGACCTGCTGAAGTCCTGAAGATGGAAAATAAAATAAAAGGCCAAGTTCCACTTCTCCCACCAGAGGGGTCATGAATGGAGGGGAGAAAAGGAAAAAAAAGCTAACACTAAGCACGTTACACCAGCTTTGACCAGCAGGGGGCGGCTGTTTTTTTCCTCCTTTACCGTTCAGCAACCAGTTGAAAAAAGCTTCTGGGGATCTAACTGGCTAACAATTAGCATGTTAATTCATTCTCAGCTGGAGCTTTTAAACACTGTGTCCACTCACTGTCCACTCTATTAGACACTCCTACCTTGTCGGTCCACCTTGTAGATGTAAGGTCAGAGACAATAGCTCATCTGCTGCTGCACAGTTTGTGTTGGTCATCCTCTAGTCCTTCATCAGTGGTCACAGGACGCTGCCCACAGGACGCTGTTGGCTGGATATTTTTGGTTGGTGGACTATTCTCAGTCCAGCAGTGACACTGAGGTGTTTAAAAACTCCAGCAGCACTGCTGTGTCTGATCCACTCAGACCAGCACAACACACACTAACACACCACCACCACGTCAGTGTTACTGCAGTGCTGAGAATGATCCACCACCCAAATAGTACCTGCTCTGTGAGGGTCCGTGGGGGTCCTGACCACTGAAGAACAGGGTAAAAGGGGGCTAACAAAGTATCAGAGAAACAGATGGACTACAGTCTGTAACTGTAGAACTACAAAGTGCACCTATATAGTAAGTGGAGCTGATAAAATGGACAATGAGCGCAGAAACAAGGAGGTGGTCAGAACGTTATGCCTGATCGGTGTAAGTCTCAAATGTCGCCCATGGTCACCAGCATCCAAGTCAAGTGACACATTCTGTTGATTTTCTAAGTGAAAATAAGCTGATCCGTCCTCTACAGCGAACATTTTAATCATCAGTTACTGATTATTTGCTGTATTTATTGGGAAAAAAAAAAAACAAAATTAAGCTTGTGCAGAAGTTTATATTTTATTTATTTATTTTTTCCATAACATCTTAAACCCAATGTTACACTTTCTGCAATAAAATCTGCAGATGAATGTCATATTTAGGTGTGTTCTCTGTAGAGGATGTTTTAACTTATTTTCCTTTTAGAAAATTAACTAAATGTGTAATTTTGACCCAGGACTGTACGTGATGCATCGCCCAGGATTATTACAGTTTATTACCATTAAGATTTTTGTATATTACCACGGTCATAAACTATGACTTAGTTATTATTCTGAATTTTCAGCTCCCGAATGAGCTGGCACCTTCGCACTGGCCCATCACTGCTCTTAGCACTGAAACCATCATAAGAGACATCCTGCATGCCAGCAAATCTCATTCACACCCACAACAATAGAGCCTTTCAACAGGCCTGAACGGGCCTCCTATTAGAGCTAATCCCCTGCCCATCAGCATTCAGCCAGACGGCAGCACCATACATCTGCTACCCGAGCGCCACAGACAGCACGGCGCTACAGCGACGGCGTCAACAAACCCTGAAGATAAACCAGAGAGATGATGCAACGCTGCTGAAAATTAGTCCGGCTTTCCAACAACTTTCAAAACGTCAGATTTTGGTGTTTGGGCTGATTTTAATCCCTGAAGTCATTTCCAAGGCAGCCTCTCTGAAACCCTCAGTGCACAGCTTCTGTTTAAACATGCAAACAGGAATAAGCAGCCAAGTTGGGATCACGTTACCTAGGGCTGGGCGATAAAACGATAACGATATAACTTTTCCTCGATAGAGCGATAAGACAGGTTCGATAAATGTTCAATATAATACACCACTCTCACACTTCCATGTTTTAGCGGAAGCCCTGGTGGCGTTTTCTACTGCAAGGAAAGCGACACTACTTTGCTGTCGCCAGGAGAGGGCGCACTTCCGAGTTTTTCGACTTGATTAGAGAGGGAGGGGGCGACGAGTAAAAAAAGGGTCGCCAAATATACTTTAGCAACATCTGAAACGCGGAGTTACACAGTCCCTGTCTGAGTGGAGCGACCGGCGATCTGCTCTCCTGTGACCGAGTGTGAGTGACGAGGTCAGTGGTGTAACTGTACTGTCCTATGGTGAACTCACCTCTTTCCATGCATCCTAACAACTTTAGCGGTGTTAAATCACGTCTGCAGCGCCGTGTTACAGCCAAACCGTCATATTTTAGTATTAGTGCATTCTCGAGCAACGAAAGTGAAAGAAAGAAGTGGTTCATGTTCGAAAGTAAACTGAGGAAGCTGTGAGGCATTGGAGAGCGGGAGAGCGCCATCTTTCCAGGCTAGCTGTTTTTAGCTGCCAACTTGAAGCAGCGCTCCGGCAAAACACGGTGAATTGATGATACTGTAGATCAAACAAGACACAAAATCACCGCTTTCAGTTTAAACATGCCTAAAAGGAGCACCCCTTAAACTACTACGGTAGCATAGAGAAACCCAGCCGTCTAGCTGGTGTCTGAATAGTGTGATCTGCTCTGACAGGGATGTGGTAGGAGTGACCGCAGTGACCTACCGAACCGAGCTGACGTTGTTGAGAAACTAAAGAGTTCAGCTCTGTTGTTGGCCACTTGTTTAGCGTTTGTAGCAGGGTAGCCGAGCGCTCGACACCAGACAGATAAAATAATCTGTTTTCTTTCTTAGATTATGACTATTACAAAAATTGCAGCTGTGCTTTTCCAGCTGATAAAAACAGCTCAGAAACTTTCTCCCACTGTCCCGAGACAGATTAGTGAAATGTTCCACTGTTTGCTGAGTGTTTGTCCTGATCGGACCATAAGTGATAGTTTAACACCACAGTTAACCACCCAGGAGCAAAATCAGCCTTCAAACGTGAAAGAAATCATGATTTGACATTTATCGCGATATGTATCGATATCGAACGATATGAATTTTGTTTATCGCGATAACGTTTTTGGCCATATCGCCCAGCTCTAACGTTACCGTGTGAAGAACTGTCAGCCTGCAGATGACGAGGCTTTTTTCCTCTGAAAGAGACAAATAAAAGCTTCCTTTCCAGCTTTGATGCATCAGATTCTTTGAGGAGCTTTAAGAATCAGAGCTGTACAAACGCTGCTTAAAATCTTCACACGTCTTTAATGCTGAGTGACATATATATATATATATATATATATATATATATATATCTCTACCCATCAACTCAACCACTAAAAGGGCCACATTAAAATATCTCAACAATCAGATCAGAGGAGGCCTATGTTTTTTCATTTTTGAATTAACATTTTTTATAAACCAAACTGACTACTGTTTATTCAAAATACGCAATAACAACAGTAAAATACAGGCACTTGTACAGGGAGATTCACTCGAAAGAGGCCCCGAATATTCTGCTGTAACTCCCGTTAGGATGAAGCAATCTGAACCAAAAAAATACACTACAGATCTTGCCGACCGTATTACATGCGATGCTGGGAGTGATCTCCGTTTTCTGCCAGACACATGAAGGGGTAAGGGGGTCTGCACCCGGAAGCTGAGGTTAAACGGTGCAACGGCTTGTTTGAAGCTCCATAATCTGAGGAGCTCACTGCACGTTGTTTGGTTCAGATTGATTAGTCCTAGAGAGAGTTAATACAGGATATTCGGGGCCTCTTTCGAGTGAATCTCCCTATAGTAGACCTTGAAATACTACATTAATACTTGAAATATTAAAAATGTAAATGTCCCCAGGAGTTCAGTCTTTTAAACCTACCTGTTTAACCGAACTAGACACCTGACACCTTCTCTCTGCTGCAGGTTCATTAAGACTTGGGCTCAGTTTCTGAGCTGCTGAGCTACATTCAGTGTTTATACTGGCTGAACTGCAGTTGGTGCGTTTGTTGATATGACTGGTACAGAACTGAGATGTAACCACTGTCCCACACACTGTTGTTGGGGAAGGAGAGTCGGAGCGCACATTACGTTGCAGTGCATGCTGGGTACTGTAGTGCAGCACATTGTGAAACGAGCCAACATTAATAAAATACTAATAAAATAATTTCTCGTGCTGGATAGGATTGTGTGGGCCTGTTTGACACATGGTCGTTATGGCTTTTCAGTTTCAGTGATACACACTTATAAAATGATGGTTCTTCAAGGGTTCTTTAGTAAACAAAATGGATCTAAAAAGAACCATGAACACTCAAAGAACCCATGGCATGATTAACCTTTTTGAAAAGCATTCTATATAGAACCAAAAAGGGTTCTGCTATTGTCACAATGTCACCCTTGTTACAACACAAGA